CCTTATGAGAAAAGACTAAGGGATCTGGGACTGTTCAGCCTGGGGAAAAGAAGACTGAGGGGGGACTTGGTGGCCATCTATAAGTATGTAAGGGGTGAATATCGGGAGCTTGGAGAAAAACTGTTCTGTAGGGTGCCCCGGGGGGGACAAGGAACAATGGCCATAAAATGTTAGAGGATGGTTTCAGGTTGGATGTAAGGAAGAACTTCTTTATGGTAATGGTGACCAGAATCTAGAATAGACTTCCCAAGGAGGTGATGCAGTCCCCAACCTTGGACGTCTTCAAGAGGAGGCTGGACAGATACTTTGCTGGGATTATTTGATCTCAGCAGTATTTCTGTCCAGAGCAGGGGAGTTGGACTCGATGATCTTTTGAGGTCCCTTCCAGCCCTTAATTTCTATGATTCTATGATTATTAGGGCTGTGCAAAGCTTTAGTTGCTGCTTAGATTTGGCCCGATTTGGCAGCCGCATCTCCGAATCCAAATCGAATCAGGAGACCCTTTAATATCTCCCAATCAAATTGGAACCCTCCAAATTGATTCGGGGAGATTCGGAGAGATTCAATGATTTGGACATAGACACAGCTTTAAATGTTTTTTCTACATACCTCAAGGTACCATTTGGCTTGTGAACGCTGAGATGGTGGGGGACGGGGCACTGGGGGGGTTCTCAGCACACTCAGTGGCAGACCTGGAAGTGGATCAGAAGCACTTCTGGTCCACTTCCAGGTCTGCCATGGAGCACATGGGGGACCTCCCCCCCACCCCTCAGCTCAGTGACTGGTGCCTCCTGGGTCTGGGGGGGCACCTGGGGTGCCTCTGTGGATGATTGCTGAGCCAGGGAGATGCGTGGGGTGGGGAGGGTCCCCTGCCGAGCACCCCCGACCCCGTGCTCTGTGGGATGCTCCATCCGGCTCCATCCACCTCAGCACTGCAGTGTTCACAAGTCACCTGGTACCTCAAGATATGTAGAAAAAACATTTAAAGCTGTGTCTATGTCCAAATTAGCATCGAATCTTCAGATTTGGATTTGGCCAAATCTAATTGGGACAGTGATCTGAATCAACTAATCAAATCACTCTCCCCCGATTCAGGCTGAATCCGAATTGAATATGGCCCATTTCGCACACCCCTAATGATTATGACTGATAAAGCCCTTACTCCACAGGGCTAGATTCATGCCAATAAACCAGACCCTCACTTGGTGGAAATCAGTGTAGCTTCATTGCACCAGTTATGGATCTGGCCCAGTGACACACCTCTTCTGTTTCCAGCAATTTCTCATGCTAGATTTATCTCCTCCTTCTAGCAGAATCCGGCTTTCTTCCCTTGACACTGCTTCTCAGGCAGCACATTCTTCACAGGGTTTTCTACTGTGTGTTTATCTTCCCCATACCTTTTTGCTTTGGTGGGGACAGTGCAATGCTCCTCCTTTCTCCCCAGTGCCCTCTGAATCCAGTGCCTTCTCTGTTTCAAACTTTATGTTGTCCATCTGTTCTCTGCCCTCCCCTGCCATTGACCCCTTGCCCTTGTATCAGCCTTCCCTTCCAAAGTTGAGGTCCAGTGGGCATTCTCTCTACTGCATGGCAACAAACATTGCAGAACCTGGCCAGTCTTTCTCCCACTGTAATGACCAGTATCAAGTATCTGGCAGGTGCTTGTTCTGCTTTGGTTCTTAGTGGATAAAAGATCATCGTATTGATTTTACATTTCACTCACAGAAAAGAAAAAATGATATGACCTTAGTCACAGAGTAAGGTTGGAGCAGAATCAAGATTAGCACTCAGGGATTGCATCCTAGATGATGGAATAAACCTTTTCCAGCTTTAGAGATGAATATTCCTTCCTCTGATACTTCAGAATTATTCATGCCTTAGTTTGTATCTAGCCTCTGATGGCACCAGGAAATCTGGGGATGTGGAAATGCCAAATTAAGTTTCTTCCAGGCAATTACCTGATCAAAGTCTACACCTTAAAGACAAAGCATGTATCTCACTTCCACTGTGCTTGTCTAACCCTCTTTGCCTGGTAGCAATATATTTTTAATTGGAGAAGATTATAAACTGCCAGGACAAGATTATGTATTGGCTCTGCCATGGGAATACTGTTACAAAAAGATAGCTTACTGCATGTGCTACTTACCTTTTCCAGGGGCACTATGCTCAGATCTTCTGCTTCTGGGAAGGGCTTTACAGGACCACTACAAAATTCACAGATTTCTCTTTCACTTCCCCCATGTTCCTTAGAAATGAAAATAAATTGGTTAAGGGCTTCTTAGCTGCTTCTCTTAAAAAATGAATTGGCTTCAAAAACTACATGCCCACATAAGAAAGAGGCAAAATGTGTCATTATAATAACTCCAGAACTACAGTTCAATAAAGTTAGAGCATAAAGAATGCTAAACCCCAGAAATATCTAGGATATATTTTCAGTATTCATACCGCCAAGTGAATTGCAGAGCATAACCAAAATTAAAACACTTCTCCTTACTGCTTTATGAGAGTAGATGAAAAAAATGTTAATTTCTTTTTATGGGGAATTTTGAAAAACAATCATTTTGAGACCTAATTAAAAAAATGAAAATGATTTCTTAAAAATCTAAAGGTTCCATTTGTTAAAAGTAAAACAAATGAAAAACCAAACTGAAGAGCAAATGGTGTTCAATTTTCAGAAACTGAAAATGGCTAGTTTTTCAGGTTTTTGTTGAAAAAAATCAAATTAAAACAATGAAAACATATATGAAAGTTTTCATTTTGGAAAAAAGAATCCAGCTTTCATTCAAAAAATATTTCTGACACAATCTTTTATGGCCAGCTCTATCCTTGCTGGTCTATAAAGACCATTCAAAACTTTAGCTTATCTTTTAGAGGCTTTTCTTTTTTTACTTCATTTTTATATTAGCAATACCAGCTCCTCCACTCTCTCTCTCTAATGGATGATCATGACAGGACCTTTGGAAGGTAAGATTATCTTACACAAGAATATACTTCCTGTATCTGTCTACAGCCTTACATGCACAGAGGATTTCAACCATTGCTACAGCTATCCATTGCCTGGCTACTAATGCAAACACCTAGTATGGACAGGCAAAGCCACTATGGGCACATCCAGATGTGCAGGCATGTGTGATCTGTGGCATCACAAACCCCTTTATGGCACCACTAAAGGCATGCATTGCATGTACAACCATGCAAGGTGGGGGCAAAATTAGCTACCGGGATTTCCCAGTCACAAAAAAACCAACCTCCTGGGAAAAAAAATCAGCACAAAGCATGTGAAAATAGTAGGCACTGCGACAAGCACAGAGACAAGGGAGCAGACAGCCCAGGGCTCTGCACTCTGCGGCGTCCTCTTAGTTTCATAGTTTCATAGTTTCTAGGGTCGGAAGGGACCTGAGCAGATCATCTAGTCCGACCCCCTGCCATGGCAGGAAAGAGTACTGGGGTCAAACGACCCCAGTAAGGTGTTCATCTAACCTCCTCTTAAAAACCCCCAGGGTGGGAGCCTGCACCACCTCACTTGGAAGCTGGTTCCAGACTCTAGCCGCCCTGACTGTGAAGTAGCGCCTCCTGATGTCCAACTTAAACCTTCCCTCCGCCAGCTTGTGACCATTGTTCCTGGTC